TCGTTAGAGTATGAAAGTTTGCTGCAGTTGTGGTACGTACCACTGTCCAAGGGATTCCTGATGCGATGAATGACTACGCCGCTACTCAGCTTTGAGAACAAAGTTGGTAGTGAGAATGGAGCTTTGAGAAGTCATTGAATGATACGATGTTGCCGTCCGTTAGTCAGCGAGTATGACAGTGGTTTTTTTTTCTTATGTCGAAACAGTGCCTACGAAGACACCATAGTGAATGTACGCGATATCAGCTGATTTGCCAAATTAAGCACCGTTGGACTGGCTTGGCTAATAGGTTAATTATTGGATAAGATGCGACCGCCCTGGTAACCCCAGTCGTATGCATGATTCTAGGTATTGTAGCAGCGTGGCAAAGAGGGCGGCTTCGTATGGAGTACGAGCATTCTATGAGTTGACCTAGAATTCCCTTGATAATGAATGAATCTACCTTACGTTGCTTCAGTGCCAACAGCCGAGAAATTTCTAGCAAGTCGCTGACATGGTTTGTGAACAACAGGGGACAGTATGATGTTCTTGTCTGGTCATCACAGAATGGATGACCCATACTGTATACTGTACGATGCGAGCGCTTCTTGTGACTGCATTTTGTCTCATCCACTTGGTGACTGACTCTTCGGTGTAAAAAACACGATGTACCGCATAAAAATTCCCAGACATTCTTCGATGTTTCGGATAATCGGTTTTATACCCGGCTCAGTGCGGTAGTTGGTACTCTCTTTCGATACGGAAATCAAAAACTCGGCAAGCACTCATCAGGACTCTAGCATGCAATATTCACGAGCGAGGTATAGATTGATCTGCATTTAGAGGGACTCTCTTCCTTCCTCAGTCTTGTAGTCGATGCTTTTGTGAAAACTGACTGTTTGCAGAGCCGAGAATGCAGCGCGCCGAGATTCGACTGCCGACCATATTGTACTGATGTAACTATTTTAAGATGTTAAGGAGAAAAAACAGGTCACTGATATATGCTTGGTTGCGAAAAAGAGGGTATTTTTGGGTACAGATTTAACACCTGTTCCACAACGGCGATGGCACCGCTTGTTCAGCTTGTCCTATGTAAATCAGTGTCGTTCTGGTTATAGCCGTATTAGCTATTTCATACAATGTTTAATGTCTTTAATAATTACTGTAAACGTTGGCGATCATAAAACCAGATCATTGAAGAAGACTGAACATCAGATACGTGGTTGTTCGCAGCAGTTTATTTGTGCAGAAGAAAATTAGCCATCGACGGTACAGGCTAAAACAACGATGAATCTGCGGTTTCGTTAAAATCAAAGGCGCTTGATGTTGAAACTGAGCCTTAAAACGTTGAGAATAAAGAAAGAATGTAGTTCAATCTCTTACCTACATCGTTAGGTGCGATTTCTTACGGAAATACATACATGAAATTGGGCTGATAGTATATTGAACCTTTGTTCGCCTTAAGTGACAATGACAGCAATTTAGGGATGACATTCTCAGGATAGCAGAAATCTGATGCGTGATGGCAGCGTATGATAAATATATTCCATGTGGTCGTTTGAACAATTTTTATATAATAAATTTGCTTTTCGATTTTCATAATCACATAACAGATTTTTGCCATTCAGAATTACATTCCGTCGTAAAAGATTTATTTTCTCTTTTTAAGCGTACCGACGGTATCGAATAGATCAGTACGATACTTCTCTTAAGGTTGTAGTAGGCAAATCATCTCCAGAGGGATCGAATGACGAAGCATAATATACGTTAATCGTCCATCCCAAACGGTCAGGTTAGAAGAAAGTAAAAATCCATGCTATTTAGACAAACTTTTCTAAGAAAAGAATCGAACGATTTGGGTCATAGTTCCTGTGTGTATGAAGCATAACGCGGTGCCCCTCTAACCGACTATTTTTCGCCGCGTCTGTAGGAGTTTGAGATTCTTATTCTTGTTGTTCCGTTGCTTGGATGACGACTTCACGCCGGATGCCGTACAGGCATTCCATCTGGCTGAAATAAAAGTATGGTCGCTCTTCAATCCTTTCAATATCATGTCAGTTCTAATGGGATCTAATCCATTTTCTGAAGGTTTTACGTTGAGTATCTGCTTCGCAGGGCAACTGTCGTCCATTTTTTGGCAAAGGCTCTCTAATCTTAAATGTTTGTAGCCATCAAGTCTCTTTAGTAGGATATTCTGATCTCTGTCTCATACAGAACCGCATTTGACTTGAGGTAATACCATTTCTCCACTGATTTAAAATTTTCACTAGCGTCACTTTCGGTTTTCCGTTTTCAGCTTTGTTGTGTAATGCGATGCCGTTTCCGAACCGTAAAGAAGGATGTTCGGAGTGCAAGCCCCGCGTATCTGCATCGTTTTCCTACTCTTAACAGTCTTTTCCTTCCAGATCGCGAACAACTTATTCTTCGCTGTTTTTGCTATAGTTTGACCGCAGCCAATGTACTCCCAAGATACAGGTGTTCTGGTACGTTTGACACAAGTTCGTTGTCAAGGGTCCATTTTGCCGTTTGGGTTTTAGGCACTTCTTCCGTTGAGCGAGGAAATGATTGCGTTGTAGCTTCGCCTCGGAGCAGCCCCAACCAAAAACTGAATACTCAGTGCGTGACTAAATCTAAATTGTTCCACACCTCAGAGCTTACGAAATGTGACATAATCTTTAAGTGACTGCAGTGCCCCTTGAACAGTCTGACACTCAAACTCTGTCTTTAAAAATCGTAAATTAGTTTCAATTAATGACTTGAAACTTTCATGCCACTTGGCTGACGGCAGAAGATTTCAGTCAATAAAATTTTTAGTTTTATTTTTTTAATAGTTCTGTGGCTCAGTTCAACGTTCGTCGTTTTTGGAATTATTTAAACATGTCTCGTGGCAATGGTGTTTCAGTACCTCATTACATTCGACGCATCCGTCAGTTAGAGCAGTACTTCGATCATTATTGACGATGTGTACTGAATTGTGTTGAAGGCCGTCAGAATTAGAA